TACCATCTTGGTGTATCATCTTGTTGTGGCATCTGTTGGGACCAACAGATTGCTGATATCGCCTCCACCTGTCTTCAGTGTGATAGTCCATTCTCTGTCTCCACTGTGTGTGTGTGTTTCCACCTGCTATAAATGGGAGCGATCTCCCTGGATCGGTACCATTTTCCTTCTTGACCTCGGTCGTTCCACTTCCCTCCTTTTGTCTTGTTCTGTCTTGTTCCTTCGCCTTGCTTCAATCCATGTTCTCGTATGCACTTCGATTGGTTGGATACCTCTGTGACAATCGCCTTGTCCACACACATTACACTGTACTGGACATACACCTTTAATAGGTTATGGGCCTCGGTTGTGTACTCTTCCAACCTCCCTTTCGTTACCCTGCCTCGCGCTTTCCAGCTGCTCTGTTCCCCTCCTGCTTCCTCCCTGTGTCTTCTGCTTGTATTGTGAAAACGTTTCAAAATCTTCAAAAACCTCTTTGTTCTCTCTGTTTTGAGACAGTGCAAAATTGTCATACTTTTTGTTTGTTTGCTTGCTTCCTTGCTTGTTGTTGTTGTTGTTGTACCTTTCCCCTCCCTTGATCATCGCCACCATGCCATTTAGTGTTATGCATACTCCTGTTGACCAGCGAGTCACTCGTAGCCGTGGCGCTGTGCAAAGCGCTGCTCGCGCTGCTGCCACCAGAAATTTTGAGGCTCACACCGACCTCACGCGCGACTTCCAGCACGAAGAAGATTATGCCGAACCCGACGCTCTCGATTGCTTGGTCAACGAGCATGAGGAAGAGGAAAGGCCGAAAATGGCCGCCACCGGGTCGCACCCGGCCACGCCTTCGACAGGAGCCGCTCCCGTCGAGGCTACCGCGAGCGCTTCTCGCCATGCCGCAAGCGCCGCCGCCACATCAGCCGCCGCCGCGGGCCCTGGATCCCCCCGCAACAATGACGCCGCCGTGGCCCAGGTCCACAGGACCCTGCAAGCCCTAGTGCACTCTCTAGGCTCCCAACATCAGCTCCAATCGCAGATTGCCGAGCTTGAATAATAAATGCTTGAACGCGAGATAAACGCTGCCCTTCGGCTCATCCCGGACAGGGGCCGCTCACATGGTTCGTTACGCGCGCACGAGACCCAGTCGCCTTCTCGTGACCTTGCGACCGATTTTTCTTTGCTCGCTCCCTCGCCCGCGGCGCACCCGTCTGCCCGCGATGGCGAAGTGGCGTTTGGCCTGGCCTCCAATCGCCCTCTACCCCGGCTCCCGAGAGAGCCCGTGCACGAATCGCTCTCTCACGACTCTCGTTATCGTCATGGCTATTTGAGCTCTCCCGCACATGACGATAGAGCCACCACGCCCAGGCGCTCTCCCATGGAAGCAGTGGATGCATCCCAATTTGGTGTTGCCTTTGGCACCAATGCGCCGCCACGGGCCGGCTCTCGGACTCAACCACCCCACCACGTTTGGCACCGAGCCTACCAAACCTCAACCAAGTGGGAGTCCTATCGCGGTGACAGCAAGAAAGGTCTTGACTCCCTCAAAGGGCCATTTCAAACACAAGAAACCAAATACGGCAGTCAAGCATCACAAATATAAGCCATCACAGCACGATCACACAATGAACACCACGGCACGCTCACATCCAACGAGACACAACGTCGGATTGAGGAAAACAACCGGCCACAGAAGACAGAGACATCATACAAAGGACTTTACAAAAATTCAGCAAAAATACCACACAAATACAGTCAAAATCAAAGTAAAATTAAAACAAAAATACAAGTCAAGCCATCAAAAGATCACAACGAGAACCACCTAGGGAGCAACAGGTGCACACAGGGATCCCCACAGAGGGACCCCCGAGACGGTGCCTACCTACGACGAGCGCAGGCAGACACCGCCTCTGAGGTTCAAACACCTAATTTATTATTTATTATTTACACCGCCAAAGTGGCGCTGGATGTGGTCAGCGTTCATCTGATGGACCAGCGCCGCAAAGCGACCTTTCCACCGAGGAACAAAGGCCTCATCCAGCCCCGGCTGGTACACACCACGGGCCTCGGCGCAGCGGGCGAGCTGACCAAGCAGATCCACAAAGGAGGAGGCGAACCCACCGGTTGTCGTCATCGCCGCAGGGACGATCAGAGTTTTTCCATGGTTGAAACCGGTGTAGTAGTCGCGCTTCTCCTTTTCTGACCACATCCAGCGCCACTTTGGCGGTGTCTGCCTGCGCTCGTCGTAGGTA